TAACTCCGCCCAAAATTAGAACTGCCCGCTTAGAAATTATAGCTTTAGTTTAAATAGCGTATAACTTCTGTTCACACTTTGTGTGAATAGGCTGTATGACTATTAGCACTTAGTGTGAACAACTATTTTTGTTTGATATTTTTATACTGACTATAAGTCACAACAGATCAAAATTGCTTTGCTGAGAGAATAAAAAATCACATAGATAAGTCACATTGTATAAGTCACATTTTATTATTAAATTCAGAAATAATGTAAAATACAGGTAAAAATAAAACGTTTATAAACATAAATACTATAAAGATGTATTGTAGTGCTCCACAAAAAAATCATTTAAATTTAACTTTATCCATAACAGAACAAAACAAAAATATAAGTTTAAAACCAACAAAAATTATAGTGCCATTCAATGCTCTATACAAATAAACTTGGACGTGTTTGTGTACTCGGCGTTAAAAGGCGAATATTAATTATAGCGCATTTTAGTTGACAATTTTTTAAAATATATTCTATGATGTTAAGGTAAGGTAAAAAAATTCCCAAAAATACAGTACCTTTTTTTACAGTAGTGTAAATAAATAGACACTGCCATATGTTTTCTTAGTTTGAATGTAATTTGGTTGTCGCTCCTTTAATAAGTGAATCTTATTCTGTTCACACTGAATTCAGTTGTTATGGGAGTGAAAACTGAATTAACTCTTGAAAAGTTCAGGTAGTGGCAGCCACATTTACATTAAAGGCACGCATCTTTTCCATTTTGTGATATACAACGTAAAATCAAAATAATGATAAGCAAAAAAAAAATAATAGGGCGGGGACTTGATTCTAGTGATCAGTTATTGGATTGGTTAGAGGCAAGATTAATTTAAATGCGGTTGTCTCTCTTAAAATACTCACAAAATCTATATTAAATGTGTTTTAATAGGGAATATTTTGAAGGACTTGAATTGCTGAATATGAGTTTCTTGGTTGAAAACATGAGAATCACAGCTAACTGCAAATGAACACTATTCATTCAAGGTTTTAATCCAAAAATACATACAACAGTCCAAGTTTCACAGCAGCATAATGTTCCATCATAGACTCAGACATGTTCTGCCGCAATGGAATATATGTAAATAAAAACAGTGATTGATCATTTACATCTGACCTTCAAAAAGCAGCATGCTCACCCTCAACTTGATGAGTGAGATCCATCACAGCTGTGTCACCGTGGTATTTGATTCACCAGCTCGCGTTTCACAGGACGCATTTGCACGGGTTCAGATGGAGCCCATGTGAAATAAGTGCCCCTTGAAGACATCCTGAGAAATATTTAACAGTAATGCTCAGGCATGACAAGCCAGGTTGTCTACACCTTAAACAAGATCTGAATAATATATTATTGTAAACAAAGATGTTTTAAAGTCAACAAGAAATCTAAATTACAAATATACATTCCTAGTCTTATTATGCATGCTAATCTAAAGAAAAATTTTGCCTTTAAAGTGAATTATTATTATTATTATCCTACTACTGTTACTACTACTACTAAAATGATTTAATAATAATAAATAACCTCTGAAATCTTTTGCAGATGATGTCATCTAGGCCACAATAAATAACATGAACTAAATTCCTTTCTTGTTGAATGCAGTAAAATCAAATAAATAATCTGTTTTCAGAATTGATAATAATATGAAATGCTGAATACGACTTTCTTGTTGAATATTGTAAAAACGATTCATACATTTAAATTCATAAATATATTTTTATATAATTTAATCTTTTTTTATACATTTGCACAACTGTTAATTAACTGTACATTGATAATAATAAGAAATGTTTCATTTTGAATACTGTAAAAGCTATTTATACATTTAATTTATAAACAAATATTTCATATTAATTATAAAACTCATTTATTTGCATTATTCATTATTTATTTACACAACTGTTTTCAACATTTATAATAAAAAGAAATGATAAATTTTATTATTTTCTGTCTATAAAATCTATTTATGAACTATATTTATAGATGCATATTATATATTAATTCTAAAATATTTATTTGTTTGTTCATATACATTTCTGTACATATACAACCACAGACCAAGCAAATTCATCTTATTTCATCCGTCTTTTTTGCATCTAATTCTTTAAAACATACACTATGTGATGTGACTATGTGGTCCTGAATAACACCTGAATCTTGTCCTCTCAGATTAAAATAGCCACGATGAACGACTTGAGGAGCACGTGGCAGCGGTTCGCTGAAGACCACATTAAAGGTCAGAAGCTAAACCCATTCAGCGAAGAGTTTGACTATGAACATGCCATGGCTATTCGACTCAACAAGGGCGACGCGGGATATGGGCGGCCCAAAGAGGGATCCAAAACAGCCCAGCGTGCCGACCGGGCCCAGAAACACATCTACCGTGAGATGGAGGAGATGTGCTTTATCATACGCGACATGGGCCAGCGGGATAAAGAGGGTCGTATCTACGTCACCTTCGGCCGCCTGTTCGACCGCTATGTCAAAATCTCCGATAAAGTTGTGGGAATTTTATTGCGCTGTCGCAAACACAAGATGGTGGACTTTGAGGGCGAGATGCTCTGGAAGGGCCAGGATGATGACATTATAATCACATTACTAGTTTAATTTCCCGGAACGTTGCTAAGTTGCAGTATAAACGAAGTAATAACTTATTTTATTTAACTTCTTTTACCTTCATTTTTCAGTTGTTTTCAAAATACTGTAACTTTTCCACTAAAACCTACTTTTTCCAACAAGTAGCGGTGTAACAAGTCAAAATGGAGCATTGCTGTCTTTTACACATTGCAAAAGCTGCTCAAATTAAAAAAAAATGTTTAGTTTTTTTTGCAACAGATAAGTAATTATAAACTACCTACTTCCAACTTCAGTGTAGTTAAACGACTTTAAATTGGACTCTAGGTATCTAGTTTCAAATTAGCCCTTATAATTTTATTTAGCAGGATGAAATGTTAGAACGTTCCAGAAAACTGGTGAACTCTCTGAGATGAACATGTGCTCTTCTGTCTGCATTCGGGTGCATGACGTGTTTTGAAAGTAGATGTAGTTTTAGTGTTGAGGAGCTGGTGAAAGGGCGACTCCTCGCTCACAGTTTACACAAGGGAATATACTCGGATCTCGTGTTTGTCTCCTCACGCATCAAACATCAGGCATCCACACCAGCCTTGATGTCTAGACGTGTTTTGGAAATCACCTCATATTTCATGCTTGTAATTTCATGCATATTTCATGCTTGTAATTCAATGACAAATCAGTTTGGTCTTGTGAGAATATAGGGTAGGGTCTGTTTTTTTGCTTTTTTTAACATTTTGTTCATTTGCGTCTACTTTCAGACACTTGCTGTTGTTTTATTGTTCAGTGTTTGTGGCTCATTTTAATAACCTCTTTCAAAATGAAAGCATGATAGTCTTCTTACAGAAGGATTTGTTATAAATATTTAAAGATATAAAACAACTAATTTATTTATTTGATGTGGATTTTTTTTCCTGTCAGTAAAAGATGAAATAAAACCACTGTTGTGTCAAAGAAAATACAACATTGTCCTAATTCACTTTTTCAATTATTTGTAGATAAGATAGTTTGAATTTGGCTTCAACATTTTTACATATTTTTGTGTTTATTTAGCGTTGGGGACCAAATGTATTATTAGTAGAAATATTAATTTATAAATTTGTGTATTTACACAAAGCAACATTAATATAAATATAACGATATTAACAATATAATATTATATAATTGTAATATAAGAAATATTTTATTACAAAATAAAAACTTTCTATATTTATTATTTTGTATAATTTCTAAAAGGTATTAATATATTTTATATTCTATTAATACTACAAATGGTATGTATAAAAGTAACATATTATTACTTTGTATAAATGAAATTGTGTGTGTGTGTGTGTATATATATATATATATACATACATACA